ATAAATTTCACAATTAGTTTGAAATATACTATTGCTTTAATAGAGTGAGAGTCAGATTAAAAGGTAATATATTTTTACACAATACCTGTAGACTCTTTTGTGCTTAACATTGAGGGCGTTATAAAAATATCATTTATAATATAATTATCGTTTCAAACACTTTAGTCTTGTTTTGTCGGTAAATTGTGATATTTTGTGAAAATTCAATTAAAGCGTTACGTTTAATGGCTGAATACGGTATTTGTGATAAACATATTCAATCTAGTTTAAAGACTAACTAAAAATGTACCATCATTACTATCAGGACAACAACAGCAACAGTGGCAACCGGCACAGACCGGACCCGCGCCGCCCTATGGACCGCCCGGACAACAGACTTACATTCCCGGTCAGGCGCCTCCGCCCGGACACTACGCCCCTCAGGGAACTGTACTCATCCAACAAACGGTATGAACGCCTTTAATATTACATTATCTCACAAATGGTTTTAAACAAACATTACAACAATTTCCAAAAGAATGTAAGCGCCTCTCAATCCGAGGGACACTAATATTGTCCGCTATATTAAATTCAAAGTGTCAACAATTGAAATGTGTTTGAATAGTGTTATGGTGTGATTTATTGTAGGCTCAAAAATTACTGTATAACTTAATTGGTAATTTCTCATGCCATTAATTTTTAAAATATAATTTTAATTTAAATTGGATTAATTGTAATTGTATAATACCATTAATATCTATGACATTTAAAGCATTTATGTCTTTCACTTATAGCCGGCCCCACAGACTGTAGTAGTGTTGGGTATGTCTTATCTAAACGTCATAATAATTTGGTGTAAATTATAAAGTGATAAATTGTTTTTAGGCGGATGTCCCACATGTAGAGTCGGACAATTGGACGATGAATTCACCTGTTTGGGTTAGTGTTTAGTTAATTATAGTCATTTTATTATACAATGATTCTGTTTGTGAACAAAATTAAACTTGGTATGTGTGATAAGAAATAGAAAATAGATTATGTTGTTTTCATTTCACACGGATATTGAAATAATTTAGTATTTTATTATTTTGACGGGAATATATTTTATTGGTATAGCATATGAGCCATTTTTATAAGTTTAAACGTTTATTTTATCAATTAATTGTTGAATTATATTTTATTATGTTTTTCAAACAGAAATTTTATTAATTTCACTAAAAATTATACAAAATAGATATTAAAATAAACTTGTAACAAATATCTTAGCTTATCAACAGCAATATAAGATCTAATACACAAACATGTATATCAAGCATTAGGTTTACATTTTGATTGCCTGAAATTCACCCTTCAATGGGGGTAAACATATGAACGTTCAGTAAACTCTCGGCACATATCGTATCTGAAAAATTTATCAAATCATAAAACAATTATGAGCTGAAAGTTTAGTTTACTTGTGTTGCTATCCCTTCTTGTTTCCCATTCAAAGGTGTATTACCGGCAAACAAAATGAAACCCACTTTCCGGCGCCTCAGTAACTAAATGTAACTTTAATAACATTTTATTTATCCATAGGAATTCTGTGCTGTATATTGTTTTTTCCATTGGGTTTGGTTAGTATTGATTTGAATACATTTATCATTAAAATACTAATTACAAAATACTAATGAATTGTGTTTACGTGTTGTGTATAACGTGTTTAAACAGATATGTTTGTTCACAATGCGTGAGAAGAGATGTACTAATTGTGGGGCCACTTTCTGAGCGACATGTTTCCGGATTGATGTCACCAAAAAAAGTCACTCAATATATCTATTACTACCTAAATGTTTACTGAAAATTAACTAATGATTATTAACTGAACCGAATGGTTCGCATTCAAAATCATTATTTCCTATTAAAAATCCTATTCTCTCCCACTTTTTGTCGGCATTGATTTTATATAGATTTTGCAAATTATAATTTTTCGTGTTATATAATGATATGTGTGTTGTATATAACGCACAAACTAATGATGTATAACGTATTCATTTATAATAATACAACTATTATATTGTTATTTAATATAAACAGCGATTGTTTAAATTTTTTATTATTTTAAACATTAAAAAAGTTTTATTGAAACACCTTTTCTACTATTATTCATAAAACAAAAACGAGAAATTTATTATTTGAATGAATAAATAATATAATAAGTATGTATAGAGAGAATGGGTGTCTATTAAATGATGAGACGTTTAATATTGAAATATTCCTAAATGTTATTTAACCTGTTTTATGATTAACTTGTTTTTTGATAGCGAAATATAATAAGAGTATATTTGGCAACAAAATTGGTAACAGTTTTTCGGGGACAACAAAAAAGTTGATATTTAAAGGTTATTGAAGTGCTAAAAATGGGAGCCAAACGCGATTACGAGTGGGTCTACACCGATGAACCGCACGCCACCCGACGGGCACTGATTTTGGCCAAATATCCGCAAATTAAACAACTTATGAGAGCCGACCCTCACATCAAATGGATAGTCGTTTGTATGGTTTTCGTACAATTGGTCTCATTTTATTTAATAAGAGATGTGACCTCTTTCTGGCAATTATTTTTGTTGGCCTATTGTTTCGGCGGTTCTATTAATATATCACTGCAGACAGCCATCCATGAGAGCGTTCACAATCACCCGTTTGGGCCCTCCCGGCCGATGGCCAACAAAGCGCTCGGCATTTTTGCCAATTTGCCGATTGGTATACCTATTATGGGCTCCCATAAGAAGTATCACTTATTACACCATCGATATCAGGGCGACGACATACTCGACACAGACATCCCGTCCCGTTTTGAAGTAATGTTTTTTAATTCAACACTTATGAAGACAATATGGATGGTATTGCAGCCCGTGTTTTACGCACTGAGGCCTATATTGGCTCAGCCATCGTTTGTGGTAAACCCCAGTCCTCTGGAACTGACGAACATTATTATCCAATTACTATTCAACGTATTGATTGGCCAATGGCTGGGATGGCATGTCGTGGCGTATATGATCGGCGGAATGGTGTTGGGTATGGGTTTGCACCCAATGTCCGGACATATAATCTCTGAACACTTTGTGATGTTTGACGAGAGGATTGATTTGTTAAAGAAGATTAAAAAAGATCACATCGAGACCGACGAGTATCTGAAACTAATGCCTGAGACCTATTCATATTACGGACCAATTAATATGATAATGTTTAACCTGGGCTATCACGTCGAGCACCACGACTTCCCGTCCATTCCCGGTGCAAATCTGCCCCGAGTTCGGGAAATCGCTCCCGAATTTTACGATTCCCTTCCGTCGCACAGTTCGTGGACTTATGTCATCTGGAAGTATATAACGGATCCAAAGATCGGTCCCTATTCTCGAGTCAAACGACCGCATCGTTTCGGGAAAAAGGATGAAAAGGCCGTCGATTTTATGAATGAAGTCAATGCAGTAATTGTTAAGTAATTTATTTAACTATTTTAACACGTTTTATAGATTTGTTAATTATATGTTTGACAGAACTTGAACAATTAATAAAATATTTAAATTATTTATTGACCAACGTAAAATTATTAATGAATTTTCCATACAAAATGAAAATGTTTGCCGATTTAAAAAGGAAAAATGTTTTATTGATAATAATTATCAATATTTATTTACCTCTCAAATAATTAAACAAAAATTTCTGATTCATTTAAATTTGTTTGATTATCTCATTTAACTTAAATAAATTTCTCCATTATATCGTATAATTTTATTTTAAATTATCAAAGTTTTAAAACTTGTTATTTAAAATCTACAGGAAATCAATTATATTTAACCGACCATTGGATAACCATTGAGTTTGTTTTTATTACATATTTAGAAATGTTAAGATAATTAAAAAATATATTTCTGTAAAATAATTTAATATAATATTGTGTTAAACATTGGCGTCATTTAATATATTATTATAAATGCCATGTTTGGACATTCATTGTGTCTATAATTAAATTAGTGACGAATTAGTGCAGCAAATATAACATTTATTACATTGAAATACTCTGATATGAACTAAATGATGGCACCGGTGGTAACTTTCCTTCCTTATCGTCGGTACATTACATGTACACAAATAACTTTCCCATTATTATTCAAATTGTTATTGAACTGAATTCAAATTAATATTATTATTTAAATTTTATCGATTAAAATACAATTGGTTTATATATGTTTTCAATAAAATTAAAGTAAAATGACTTATAAATCAATATATTATAAGCATTTATTTGATAAACATTACGATCATTTCAAATGACTATCACTTTTGAGTAATTTAGGAATTTTTTCAATTATTACTAAATATTGCTAATAATATTGAAAATATTTTTATGACTTTAACGACAATTAATAATAACGTAATTTAATTTTATTGATAATGCAATGAAGTAATTTTAAACCTAAACCTAAATAACAATAAATTTCAATAAAATTTTGAAATTGCATTTACTTTTTTGTGTATTTCATACAATTCCGTCAATAAAAAAATAAATACAAATAAATTATTTTATAACAAAATAAAACATCGGAAAAATCTAATACAAAGCGGTTTCCATTGTATTCCTATGCAATTATTCGCACATATTTTTTTTACAATCATTACAACCTTCGGGTCGGCTAATAATTAATACATTAATTTTGTGGAGGATTTTATCATAACGTAAACCCAATACACATTTTCAAGTCAGTTATCTACAAGTGTTGTCAACATTTAATAATATATTTAATTATTATAAATGTATATAATATAATGTAATAAATATTTTCCCCAATAAAATAGGATTGATTTATTTGTCAGCTAATTATTTACAATTCTCTCTCTCTCTCTCTCTCCCTCTCTCTCCCTCTCCCCCCAATCTGTTTGATAACCCGTTCCGTTCANAAAAACAAGTTAATCATAAAACAGGTTAAATAACATTTAGGAATATTTCAATATTAAACGTCTCATCATTTAATAGACACCCATTCTCTCTATACATACTTATTATATTATTTATTCATTCAAATAATAAATTTCTCGTTTTTGTTTTATGAATAAAAGTAGAAAAGATGTTTCAATAAAACTTTTTTAATGTTTAAAATAATAAAAAATTTAAACAATCGCTGTTTACATTAAATAACAATATAATAGTTGTATTATTATAAATGAATACGTTATACATCATTAGTTTGTGCGTTATATACAACACACATATCATTATATAACACGAAAAATTATAATTTGCAAAATCTATATAAAATCAATGCCGACAAAAAGGGGGAGAGAATAGGATTTTTAATAGGAAATAATGATTTTGAATGCGAACCATTCGGTTCAGTCAATAATCATTAATTAATTTTCAGTAAACTTTTAGGTAGTAATAGATATATTGAGTGACTTTTGTTGGTGACATCAATCCGGAAACATGTCGCTCAGAAAGTGGCCCCACAATTAGTACATCTCTTCTCACGCATTGTGAACAAACATATCTGTTTAAACACGTTATACACAACACGTAAACACAATTCATTAGTATTTTATAATTAGTATTTTAATGATAAATGTATTCAAATCAATACTAACCAAACCCAATGGGAAAAACAATATACAGCACAGAATTCCTATGGATAAAAAAAGTGTCATTAGTTACAGAGGCGCCGGAAAATGGGTTTCATTTTGTTTGCCGGTAATACACCTTTGAATGGGAGACAAGAAGGGATAGCAACACAAGTAAACTAAACTTTCAGCTCATAATTGTTTTATGATTTGATAAATTTTTCAGATACGATATGTGCCGAGAGTTTACTGAACGTTCCTGTGTTTACCCCCATTGAAGGGTGAATTTCAGGCAATCAAAGTGTAAACCTAATGCTTGATATACATGTTTGTGTATTAGATCTTATATTGCTGTTGATAAGCTAAGATATTTGTTACAAGTTTATTTTAACATCTACTGTATTTTGTATAATTTTTAGTGAAATTAATAAAACGTCTGTTTGAAAAATATAATAAAATATAATTCAACAATTAAATGATAAAATAAACGTTTAAACTTATAAAAATGGCATTATATGCTATACCAATAAAATATATTCCCGTCAAAATAATAAAATACTAAACTATTTCAATATCCGTGTGAAATGAAAACAACATAATCTATTTCTTATCACACATACCAAGCTTAATTTTGTTCACAAAGAGAATCATTGTATAATAAAATGTCTATAATTAATAAACACTAACCCAAACAGGTGAATTCATCGTCCAATTGTCCGACTCTACATGTGGGACATCCGCCTAAAAACAATTTATCACATTATAATTTACACCAAATTATTATAACGTTTAGATAAGACATACCCAACACTACTACGGTCTGTGGGGCCGGCTATAAGTGAAAGACATAAATGCTTTAAATGTCATAGATATTAATGGTATTATACAATTACAATTAATTCAAATTATATTTTAAAAATTAATGGCACTGGAAATTACCAATTAAGTTATACACTAATTTTTAAGCCTAACTACCACAATTAATCACACCATAATACTATTCAAACACATTTCAATTGTTGACACTTTGAATTGAATATATCGGACAATATTAGTGTCCCTCGGATTGAGTGGCGTTCATATTCTTTGAAAATTGTTGTAATGTTTGTTTAATACCAGATGTGGGATAATGTAATATTAAAGGCGTTCATACCGTTTGTTGGATGAGTACAGTTCCCTGAGGGGCGTAGTGTCCGGGCGGCGGCGCCTGACCGGGAATGTAAGTTTGTTGTCCGGGCGGTCCATAGGGCGGCGCGGGTCCGGTTTGTGCCGGTTGCCACTGTTGCTGTTGTTGACCTGATAGTAATGATGGTACATTTTTTGTTAGTCTTTAAACTAGATTGAATATGTTTATCACAAATACCGTATTCTGCCATTAAACGTAACGCTTTAATTGAATTTTCACAAAATATCACAATTTACCGACAAAACAGGACTAAAGTGTTTGAAACGATAATTATATTATAAATGATATTTTTTATAACGCCCTCAATGTTAAGCACAAAAGAGTCTACAGGTATTGTGTAAAAATATATTACCTTTTAATCTGACTCTCACTCTATTAAAGCAATAGTATATTTCAAACTAATTGTGAAATTTAT